CGGGCTAGGCGTGACGGGCGCGCGAAGCGCGCCCAGAACGGCTAGTACTTTATAAGAGTGTTTGAACATTTTGGCACAATAAGCGCTCTCAAACCAAACCTTAGTGACCATGATTTCGGAGGAAACCTATTTTCATTTTTCCAGAAAATTTAATTTTGACCCTTTTTTGAAATTTTCACAAAATATTTTACACGGTATGAAAGAAACCGGCAAAAATTCTGAAAAACAACGTTCCCTTGTTTTCTTTTGAGAGAATAAAATGTGAAAAGAAATGTTCAACGCCGCAAATTGAGATGTTTTGCGAATTTTTCTAGGGGTTATATCACTTTCGAAGACCACAGCAAGAACGCTGAATAAGTGAGCTAAGAAAAGTAATATCCTCGATCATCATTTAACTAATTTCGGAGAAAATATGACAGAATGATAAACCCTGAGCTTAGGTGCATTAACGAGTAATGCTACTTCTAAATTTTATAGTGGCAATACGAAGTGAAATGAAACTCTCAGATACTTTTCGTCGAGGCACAGAAGGAAACGAATGCGTTCATCGCGAAAAGAGAGGGCGGCACTGGAAGAGAGTCGCCGAGTTAGACGACACCGACTTAATCAATTACATCATTATACAGTTTGTCAGTTGCGACCTCAAATGGGTTTTTAACCCAGTTCTTTCTCCTCAAAACAATGAAGCTTGCCTGCGTAATCTTTTACGCTCCGTTTTTCTTAAACAACACGCCATTTCGTTCCCCTCAGTGAGGTTTCCCCTCATCCCCCTCTCATCTCCCCCCACCCCCTTCCCCTCAGCTCCCCTCCTTCAGCCTATCTCATCAACCTTATCCCCATAGTCTTTCCTTTCCCGTTTCCAAACGCCCGGCTCCCAAGAGTTATTGCTGTTTAATTCGTCTTACTTCAATTGCTCTTACAGGCGACGCTTTCATAAACCGGATTTAATCTGCAATTTTGCCGTTAGTACTAAAAAAGAACGCCGTATGGGCACTCAAAGGTTGCCAAATTTATTCTTATAAAATAATTATTTTTGAGATTTTTTGGTTACATCTTGCAAATTGGACTTACAGTTTCTGGCTCAGTTTAGAAACAACGTATGCACCATTAGTTTCCCTACGCACATAAGCGTTTAAACGGATGAGCTAGAAATTGTAGTTCTCTTAATTATTGCAAAATGTAGTACATTTATGTGAATGATGTACTTCAAAATTTTCTGAATGATTACATGAAATCGCAGGTAAATTTTTTTAACAGTTTTCCTATCTCTGGTTAAACTTGATCCTCCGGTTCAATAAAACTTTGAATCCGATTTCGAAAAATCTAAACCGTATACATTTTTTCTTTTCACGGATGCTCTGCTTTACAAATCAATTAGAAAATTTGAAGATACGATTTTATTTCACAAGCTTTTATAGTACCCGCTACATTTTATCAGGAGGATAAATCCTATGCATAGCAACAGTCTGCCACAGTCTCTGATAAGACCTACCGTTGGCTATCAGACGGCCGCTGAGCCTTGCTGGAATACAGAGGATACACATACACAATGTGTCAATGGTATGAGGTTAAGGAGCACGGTCCAACTTCGGTGTGCACAACGGCAGTTGAGGGCGCCTCGTCGGTCAACCCGGCGTTACTTACGTACTTACTTACTAAATCCTATACAGCGGGCCGATAATTGAAACTGATAGACGAAGCTATAAACAAAGAAAACGAAAGGGGTATGGAGGGAGCCTATTAGTGGAAGTTTGGTTGCAATGGACAAATGAGGTAGGTAATAGACTAACTAATGGCAACAAACGAGATACCCTATAGTTAGTCCATCATTTTCTCCCTTAGTCTGTAGGAATCACCCACTCTAAACTAGTAGGATCCATACTTCCTACATCTTCTTTGTCTATAGCTTGTCTATCAATTTCAATAATCAGCCCGCAGCAGCGGTACGTACATGATAGAAATGGCCCTTTACCCAGAGAGACGGATAATTTCACCGGTCTTAATCGTCGCCCTTCCGACATGAAAGCGTATGCTGAAGAAAAGTTCTCGGCGTTTTTACAAAGGTCCGTTTGTACCTTTACCATCTCACTTTTTTTACCAATTATTGGTAATTTTACAAAGACAGACTGGTAAGCTTACCTAAAAACCGGTATTTTTACTGTTTTTTTCAGGTAAGAATACCACTTTTATTGGTAATAAATTCCCGGTAACTTTGCCATTTTATCTCGGTAATTCTACCACAGTCGATAAAAAATATTGGCGTTTTTACCAAGGTCCAGTAAAATTACCGAGAAAGTTCAATAATTTTACCGAGATTTCTCGGTAAAAGTACCAATTCCATACATGGTAATTTTACCAAGAAAAAACTGGGATCAAATAGAACCCTGAATTCTCGGTAATTTTACCCTTTCCTTACTAAATACACAGAGATTTTGTTTTTCAGTACGGATAATTCCACCGATTTTAATCATCCCTCCTCAGACATAAAAGCGTAACTGCATCCCGCGATGAGCCCTGTCATCCATTTAACTCAATGCTTTCCCGGTCTCATCTCAATGTGTAGTTACGCCCCATGTCAGCCAAGCGATGTAAAGTTCCTGAATTTTTGTGTGCATAATTACAGGAAAATTGCTGTTTTTTGTGGCAAAAGTATACGCACAATGAAAACAGTTTAACCACGACAAAGCTCCCCCTAAAGGGAATGAGTCTCCTCCAAGAGCTCGCCGATGGAGAGAGAGAAATAGGGTTGCATGAAAGAAACGAGACCCGCACACTATTTTATCCCCCTTTTTTCGAGCATCACCACCCTCTTTACGTTCCCGCCATCCCTTTTTCGTTGGCAAGAAATAATATTCACTCCTACGCCCCCGGCTCAAGGCAGATTAATTTTTATCCCGGGGACTCAGTTGGCCAACTGCCGAGAATTCCTGAAATATTAAAATTTTACACACTTAAGTATGAAATACAGGCCTTCTTCGCGAGACTTAGCCTGGCTGCCTCGAGAAATTTGCCAGGGAATAACAAGGAGAATGAAATTCGAGTAAACGCGTCATATTTTGCGCTTTGTTTTTGAGCGTCCATTCAGAAATCGGTGATGTAGTTTAGGAGCTCCCCTCGTGTGGAGTTGTCAGATCAAAGCGGCAAACGAGGATATTGGGACCGCGTTAAATAGAAAGGAACCATAAGCCACATCAGCTTTTGCCAAATTTAACAGGGAAATTTTATTTTTAACGATAGAACGATCGTGCGGATTCCTTTGAAAATTTTAAGGTATTTGCTTTGTATTATGGAGAAATTCATTCGAAAATCATTCGAATACTGGATACATCAAAATTCGTTGAACAAAGATCTAATGGGGCTCAATTGAATATCTCATGAATGAATGGTTCCGTAGGTCTATTTTACTATAGTGTCTGTGATTTTTGTCCTCACTGCCAATGGAAGTTCTGCACTGTGCGACGTCTAAAATTTATATAAGCAGTCTTTTGCCACATGGAGTCTGGATTCGTTTTTGATGAGCGTTATGCTAAAGTGATCAGGTCTAGTTTAATAATAAATAAGTAAATAAATAAATCGGTAAATAGATAAATAAATCAGTGAATGGATAAATAATTAAATAAATAAAACATTTAAGGAAATCAGGCAGCTACGACGCAGTTAGACTGATTCAGGCTATCCGTGCAACTCATACTTTGTTTACTGCCGTGCTAAGGAAAAACGCCGTATGAACCTTCAGGCGTTGCCAAATTTCCCTGGATAAAACACGAATCTCCTGATAAACCAATGAATATTTTCGTTCCAATTTTTCAGATAATTTTGCACGCAGTTTCACCTCAAGTTTCTGAAAATT